CCCACATGCGCTGGAACCCAGGTAAACTGTGCGTACATCTAAAAGATCTTGCTTATATAGATTTTCCACTCTGAATACTTTATAGGGAGGACATGGAATCTGATCAGATTACTATCATATGCGGTTTAACTTCCTCTAACCCATTGCAGTGCTAAAATAATGGCCATTATTTCAACTGAGAAGACTGAGAGATGATCTGAAGTTGTTTTTTGGATGTTAATGTTGTATTTTAGGATGATTACAGCTGCACCCGTCTTGCCAGTTATTGGATTTAAACACAGCTCGCGCTGACCAAAGTGCTGTAGCGCAATAACCACAAAATAATAATAATAATAATAAAAAAATACACTTCCAAATCAGTAATTTAAACTAAGATGACATCAAGAGAAAAACAGTTAAAAATAATTGATTGTTGTTGTTTTTCTGCATTTGTTTCCAGTCTCTTTTCATTTTGGTATTTCTTTGAGTAAGCGTTCAATCAAAATAATTTTCAATAATATTCTTGTTCTCCAACATATAAAACACAAATATTGTGGCATTCACTGCAACACTAGTTTATTAGTTAATTAACCAACTACACATTTACTTTATGTGAATCTAACACAACATTTGCTCACTGTGACACAGAACAATGCTTTCTAATATGAGTCACTAGACTACTTGATTTGGTGAAACTCTTCCCACACTGAGTACAGTCGTACGGCTTCTCTCCAGTATGAACTCGCTCGTGTGATTTCAGGTGTGTAGACTGAGTGAAACTCTTGTCACAATATGAGCACTTGTAAGGTTTTTCTCCAGTATGAATTCTTTGGTGCAGTTTCAGATTCACAGATGTAGTAAAGCTCTTCTCACAGTCAAAGCACATATGATCTCTCACTTCATTGTGTGTTTTCTGGTGCAGTTTAAAACTGTTCAGCCATGAAAAACTCTTTCCACAGAGAGAGCACACATAAGGCTTCTCATCTGAATGAAGTTTCAGGTGATCTTTTAGATTTGATAATGAAATAAAATCTTTACCACACTGATCACAGTTAAATGGCTTTTCTCCAGAGTGAACGCGCAGATGATAACTGAGAGCTGATGCTTGAGAAAAACTCTTTCCACACTGAGTGCATGTATACGGTTTCTCTCCAGTGTGAATTCTCATGTGTGTGTTAAGGTTTCCTTTCTCTGTGAAACTCTTTCCACACTGAGTGCAGGTGTGCGTCTTTTTGGCTTTTGTTCTTTGAATTGTAAAGTTACGATGTTCCTCCTTCACTTCATTCAGTTCTTGTCTTTGCTCTTTCACTCTCACCTGGTCTAAAATACACAGAAATACAGTAAGAATCAGTTCAAGTGAACCCTTGTTTAATAGCAGAAAGCAACAGAGATCAGATCTTCACTATTTGTTCTGTCATTCATTGTTAATAGGCTATTGTAAAAATATGTTTGACAACTGCTATATACAAGGTTATGATCATTTGTAGCGGTGCACCGAAATTTCGGCCGCCGAAAATGGCATTATCGGTTTGGGGCCGAAATAAAAAAAACGAGTGGGGGTTCAATCTTCAGCTGGCTGGCAGCAGCCGCCACTGGCAGGTCACGTGACCTGTCAGTGGCTGGCTAGTTGTCTGGCAGTCTGCTTTGACAAGTTTCAGAAACCATTGATTTTTGACAGTTTTTGTGTTTTGTGTTCCTCCCTTTCTAGCTCATTTATTATGCATCTGTTGATATGATTATGTTCTTTAGTATGATTGATGTTTTGGGGACTGTTATCCCAACATAACCAGTCAAATGGCCGCGATCCGACTGGCAGCTTACAGACGCTTGCTCGACGCTCATCCAGTCAGTTGCGGCTGAACTGCGAGTATAACGCGTTGCCTGACACTCAGGAAATAAATTGTTTTCTTATTATGAATATAATGTCACGCATCTCTTCTTGTGTATGATTGATGTTTTGGGGACTGTTATCACAATATAACCAGTCAAATGGCCGAATATATCACGCATCTATTCTTCTTTGCAACTGCACACTGTGTGTGTGTTGAATAATAGTTTAAAGTCCCTGTAAAGGCAATTCTAAAAAAAAAATCTAAACCCAGTATAAATGTTAGAAATGTATTGCTAAAAGATATTACAAAGACTGTGAACTGTGAATTACTGAATTGTGGAGTTAGACCGTTAAACAGTTTTTCACCATTGCTATTTTCCGGATTTTTTGGGCGGGGCTAAAACAGGGCTCGATGACACACTGGAGCCCCTGAGCTCCTGGACACGCCCCTAATTGATGACGCACTGAGGCCACTGAGGCTGGCTCTTCCCATAACAATAGAGCACATTCGCTTCAGTTTGGCGCTCAATCGCGAGTTACTGTACTATTAGTTACTACAGCCTACAGTTTGCTAGCTAGCTATGCCTTCGACACGGAAATGCGTAGGCTACTACCTGGATGCGATTACGTACAAAACAGATCGGTGTCTTTATTTAAATTTCCGAAAAACGATCACATCAAGAAGAGGTGGATTAATTTTGTGGAGAGCCGACCTTGATGGAGAGCTGAGGATCACCGCCAACACCCGCCTCTGTAGTGATTATTTTACACGGGATAGTTTTATAAACTTTCGTCGGAGACAACTGGGGTTCACTGATAATCCGCTGTTACTGGTGAATGGGGCCGAACCGACTATCTCCCGCCTCGGCCTTCATCCTCCCGTCCCGAAAGCAGTATCACCTAATATCACCGTCGGCAGCTGTCCTGCGAGTGGGCGTGGTTTCAGTGCAGCCAACGGACACGCCCCCCAGCGGACACGCCCCCAGCGTTTGAGAGCAGAGAATACTGCTCATATTTTCGAGATTTCGATAGCTTATTTTATGTACTTGCCGGCTTTTTTTTATCATTCAAATTTGGCTGGGTGGCTAATAACACATTTTTTCTGTTGTGTGACAACCTCAGAACACATACTTAATTTTGACTTTACAGGGACTTTAAGTGCGACAAGCAATGCCCTATATAGATTCTTGTTTTTTATTTGTAAATATATTTTTTTATTTGTTTTTATTTGTAAATAGTTTTTTTTTCTTGGGTTTTATTTGTAAATAGTCTTTGTAAATTTTAAAATAGTGAGACAGTCTGTGTTAAGTGATTTTACCGTTAAAGTTACCAGTATACTAGACCGGGACGATTTTAATCCTTGTGAAAAAGTAGCCTATAAAAACGTGAATTAATCCCAATAACATGAATCTTTGTCATTGGCTTGACCATTTTCTGACACCAGGACAAAATAGATATGCTTTTAAATAATTCAATAAAAGAATGCCAACTTTAACGGTAAAATCACTTAGCACAGACTGTATCGCTATTTTCAAATTTACAAAGACTATTTACAAATAAAAAACAAGAATCTATATAGGCCATTGCTTGTCGCACTTAAACTATTATTCAACACACACACAGTGTGCAGTTGCAAAGAAGAATAGATGTGTGATATATTCGGCCATTTGACTGGTTATATTGTGATAACAGTCCCCAAAACATCAAGCGAGAGTGTCAGGCAGCGCGTTATACTCGCAGTTCAGCCGCAACTGACTGGATGAGCGTCGAGCAAGCCTCTGTAAGCTGCCAGTCGGATCACGGCCATTTGACTGGTTATATTGGGTTAACAGTCCCCAAAACATCAATCATACACAAGAATAAAGGCGTGACATTATATTCATAATAAGAAAACAATTTATTTCCTTGTAGCGAGAGTGTCAGGCAACGCGTTATACTCGCACTATGACCCGCGACTGACTGGATGAGCGTCGAGCAAGCGTCTGTAAGCTGCCAGTCGGATCACGGCCATTTGACTGGTTATATTGGGATAACAGTCCCCAAAACATCAATCATACTAAAGAACATAATAATATCAACAGATTCCTCATAAATGAGCTAGAAAGAGAGGAACACAAAACACAAAAACTCAAATCAATGGTTTCTGAAACTTTCCAAAGGCAGACTGCCAGACAACTTGCCAGCCACTGACAGGTCACGTGACCTGCCAGTGGCGGCTCCTGCCAGCCAGCTGAAGATTGAACCCCTACTGAAAAAAACAGCCGAAAACGTAAACCAAAAATGAATGTCACTCGCCCCTCCCATCCGTGCGCAAGCGCTTAGGTTTCACTCACGGTCGAGCTGTTATCACGCTGCGCGTGCGTGAAATGACACAAAAATAGCTGTTGGAGATTGACATTTCTGGTGAAGGAAGAGACTCGACAGGGAGCGCAGCGCAAACGGTGCCTGAGAAACGGTTATGTACAAGTGAGGAGGCGTACACACCCTCACTTTCTGAGATGTTTGACGGAATTTTACACAGGTATTTATCTGCCCCAAGCACCAGCACAGACAGTTAGAGACTATTCAGTGCAGCATCTCATGTTCTTAATGAGAAGAGGAACCGTCTTTCCTGTCAAAAAGCTGAGCAACTTTTGTTCTTAAAGAGAAACCTGCCTGATTAAATATAAAACGTCTGATTAAATAAACAGCAGTCCAATTTTCTGTGTTTATAGCAGTTACATTAAAATTTGCGTAGCACTGCACAACTGTTTCCTAAGGCTACATAGGCTTATGTTGTTTACAGTTTGAGTTTGGATTTATTCAGATAATTGTGGATCTTATTTTGCACAACTGTTAAAAAACAATTTTATTTGATGGAACATAAAACTTGAAGAAGAATATTATTTGGTATTATTATTTATATTTATTGTTAAAAATATTTTAGGTTTTGTTATGCTACTGTTAATAAAAGTTTGATTTTTCTATTGCATTATTCTATAGTATAAGTTCTTAAAAGAAGCGATTTTCGGCTTCAGTTTCGGTTTTCGGCCAAGTGCATCCTAAATTTTCGGTTTTGGCCCAGAATTTTCATTTCGGTGCATCACTAATCATTTAGATGTATTTCTCTATCATTTATCATCCATATAACTGCTTATTAATTCACATCTACCAAAGCGTCAACAATGAAGAATCAAGAATGGACACCAACCTATTTGTTCCTCAGTATCTTCATGTTTTATTCTGGATGGTTCTGGATCACTCATGTCTTCAATCTCCTCTTTAATAAACTCCATCTTTAACAGTCACACATATTTCAGCTGCTACTCCTGGAGTTTGTGCTTCTCTTGTAGGATGATGGGAATATTCCCAGTATTTATTGGTGAATTGTTGTGGGAGGGGCTTCACTGCAGGTGTGAACTGTGATCACTGTGTTTTTATCCAATCTGCATTTAAAAAGTACAGGGCCATCATGTTTAACTGAACAGCTGAAAAACCTCTTTGTCTCCAAAAGTTCCCTGTTTTCAGCTCATTCATTATGGTGATGTCTGAGATCTTCTGTAAATTGGCACATTAAATCGTTTTATTGGTGTCAACAGGCTGAAACAAACTACAGCATCATCACATTTAACTTCAGTTCTTGTCTTTGCTCTTTCACTTCCATCTGGCCTGAAACATATTAAAACATGAAGTTGTTAGAATGAGAAGGATAAATGTGAATTCAAGCAAACCCTGATTTAACAACAGAAAACAAGTGAGATCTGCATATTATATTTTTGATGCACCAAAGGTTAGTTTTGTCATCCTCTTGATAAATCAAAATGTGAGCGACAACTGCTGTACAAGATTATGATATAAGTGCATTTATATTCCTAGATTATTTGCTTATTTTATTTTTTTGTGTAAAAGGTAACTATAGAATTAAACAAGAGATATTCAGATAAAATGATAAATTTTTTGTTTTTAAACTTTCATATAAATCAAAGTTACACACCAGTGAATTTAGTCAAATGTCTTGTAGGCCTAAATATATAACAGAATTCACCCAGCAACACAAATGAAACACATCTGCAGTTTATTGACAGAGGACAGACAATAAACACACACAGCTTCAGATTCACTGTCTTTCAGCTGAAGGATTCATGAGAAAATACATGAATTACCGTCCTCCCAAACATCTAATACACAGGTCAGATATGGCTAAAAACATACATTAACATAAAAAAAAAAAACTAAACCCATTTAAACGACATTTCCACAGACTCAATCCACCAAAATGATATGTGGAGATTTTAGGGTTTTTTTTTACGCGCGTTAATTAAAGTCCAAAAATACATCAAACTGTTGGCAGAAAAACACACACATAACCTTATTCCGGTTTTATGTCACTTGTTACGCCTGCCTGTTTGCCCTGCTGGCGTCTACTACACAGTGCAGACGTTACTTGTGGCAACAGGTGGATTCAATCCCTAATCAGTTCACCACAGGAGTAGGATAAAGACGGGTGACTGGGAGTACAGTCTCTCTCGCTTCGCTTCCACTCTCTTTCCCTTTTCTTATTTTTTTGTATATATTTTTCCTTTCCCCTTGAACCTTTCCTTGTTTATCTTTATTTCAAATATCTGCTATTGTTTATTTAGTAACCACACGCGTGCGTTTCTTTCCCTAGACGTCGTTTTCTTTTTTTTTATTGTTTAAAGTAATGTTTGATTGGTTTGACAATAAATTGTTTTATTGTTAAGGAATTTGTTGTCGGCCTATTTTTATGTTGCGGTCTGTGAGCCAGCCGTAATATAAAATTGGGGCTCGTCCGAATTGTTTTGAGGGAGTATTTTTTTATTGTCTCTTCAGGATTTCTGTAAGGATCGGTTTTCACTCCGGTTAGTAAGAGTGTTCCAGCTGGGCTGCGTGGAGTGGTCCTTCCATCGGAACACTTGTTTGTTGTTTTGTTGATTTTTGTTTTGTATTTTATTTGGAGTTTTCGGAAGGAAATCCTGGGTGGGGGGTACACTTCTCGCGCAGCTGAACTCATTTTGAGAACGGTTGTTACGAGGTTCAGCGTTTCAAGTCGCCTCGAGCCCGGCAGTCCTTTGAAGACTAGCTAGGATAGTTAGTTTAATGGGCAGACATATCGGAGATGAAAAGCCGATGGAAATCCTGGTGAGTATTATATTTCTCCCTGATTTGTTTAATTTGATTACAAAGAGAGCATGTTTTCGCGTGTGGTTATATAAGTTGCCAATTTATATAGGAATTATTTGGATTCATTGTGGTCAATTTATTAACTAATCTTCATTGTGTACATTTTAAGCTAGTTCAAGATGACTTCCATTCAGGGATTGAATGTAGAACTTTGAGAAGTTTCTAGATAGGTGCACCAAAGAACAACTTTTAGAAATCGCAGAGAGTCAAGCGATCATCTTGACTAGCAATGATAAGAAGCGCAAGGAGGATTTGTTAGGGGCTATTAAAAGCCAGTTGACAGCAAAAGGAATTCTGGTTGTAGGAGATGAAGCTACTAGTCTTGGGAAAGTAGTGTTTCCACTGGAGAGAGATGTAATGTCTATAGAGAAACAAACACAGTTTGAAACTGAGAGACTGTCATTTGAAGCCACTCAAGCATTAGAAGATAGGGAATGGGGAAAACGTCTTCAGTTTAAAAAAATTAGAGCTTGAACAGGAGCGTGAGCATACACAATTTGAGCTGAAAAAGTTAGAATATGTACGTGAGAGCGAACGTGACCATAGACAGTATGAGATAAGGAAGCTAGAACTTGAACTGGAAGCAAAAAAAGCTGAAGCTTCAAAATCCGTTCAGGTTGTGCATTCTTCCTTTGAATTTGATGTTGGTCGAAACATTAAGATGGTTCCTCCATTTTGTGAACGTGATGTGGATAAGTATTTTGCCCATTTTGAAAGGGTTGCGTCTTCCCTAAAATGGCTGGAGGAAGTCTGGACTTTACTTCTGCAGTGTGTTCTGACTCGGAAGGCTCAGGAGGTGTTTTCTTCTCTTTCTGAAGAAGAGAGTGTAGATTTTAAACAAGTAAAAGTAGCCATTTTGAGAGCATATGAGTTAGTACCAGAGGCTTATCGCCAACGATTTCGTGGGTACAAAAAGACTGAAAAACAAACATATGTTGAATTCGCTCGGGAAAAAGAGATTGCGTTTAGAAGGTGGTGTCAGTCTCAGAAAGTAGAAACCTTGAACCAGTTAAGGGAGTTAATTCTTGTGGAAGAATTTAAAAACTGCGTACCAGGGTCGGTGTCTACTTATTTGAATGAGCAGAAGGCTCTTACATTAGCTAATGCAGCTGTGTTGGCTGATGAATTTGTTCTGACTCACAGAATTTCTTTTTCTGATAGAGGTTCAAGCGATCAGAGTAGGAAGTTATTTAGAAATCGGTGGACACCTCCAGTGCGTACATCAAACGCTGTTTTAAGTGTGCCCCCAGTGAGTCAGAATTTTTCATCAGATAAGAAGGGTAAGGTGATCTGCTTTTAAGGTCACAAAGTGGGACATATAATCTCTGAATGTAACGCTTTAAAAAAGTCTGTTAAGCCAGTTGGATTGGTTGGACTTGAACCATTAGAGGTTCATGTTCACCAACAGAATTCTGAGGTTAGAATGGGATCTCACAACAGGTAGATGTTGGAGATAATTATGCAGAGTATGCTCCAATTATTACTAACGGCATTGTGTCTTTGCCAGGACAAGAGCGAAAAGTTTCTTTGAAGATCCTGAGAGACACCGGAGCTTCTCAATCGTTTTTGCTAGAGGGTGCTCTTCCACTCTCAGGTCAGACTGCGACCGGGAGGGATGTATTAATTAGGGCAGTGGTTCCCAAACCTGTCCTGGCGACACACCAACACTGCACATTTTCTTTGTCTCCCTAACAAAGAAAACGTGCAGTGTTGGTGGGTCGCCAGGACAGGTTTGGGAACCACTGAATTAGGGGGATAGAAATGACCTTCTTAAAAGTTCCCTTACACAGGGTACATCTTGCCTCTGATCTTGTAAATGGAGATGTGATTGTTGGAGTGCCGTCTTCCCTTCCTGTGCCAGGGGTTTCTTTTATCTTGGGGAACGATCTTGCTCAGGGAAATGTCTGGGGAACATCAAAACCTGTACCATCTACTGTTGTAGTCTCCTCACCTATGTCTGCAGATGTTCCTGATGAGTGTGGTCAGAAATTTCCCCACGTGTTTCCTTCCTGTGCTGTCACCCGAGCCAGAGGAAGACAACTTAAAGCTGACCGACTGTGTGAAGGTGAAGTTTATTTACATCCTGACAGTGAGGTAACAATGGAGAAACAGTTACCCATTCATTCTGAGGATGATGTAGAGGGATTTAGTTTTGTGCCGTCAAATCAGGTTGGTGGTGGGACAATTGATGGGGAACCACTTCATATGACCTTGGCAGATAACATTATTTCAGATTCATCTGTTTTCTTTTCTGAGTCATTGGCCTCTGGGGAGAAGACAGTGTCAGAGGATTTGTTATCCTCTATTTTTCATGTTTCTAGAGAGGACCTGATTCAAGAACAGTTAGCTGATGTAATGTTGAAACCTTTGTTCTCAATGGTTTGTATCAAGGGGGATATTGAGACTCAGCTACCCTCTTGCTACTTCCTAAAAGATGGGATGTTGCTTAGACGATGGGTCAGTAACTCTGAACCCATTACTAAGGTTTATGTTAAGCTGGTAGTCCCTCTTAAATTCAGGCAGTCTGTGGTCGGGTTAGCACATGATAGACTGGCTGGACATATGGGGGTGAGGAAAACGTATGATCGATTGCAACGCAAGTTCTTTTGGCCTGGTTTAAAAAGAGACGTGGCAAAGTTTATTAGAACTTGTCATGTGTGCCAACTCACTGGCAAGCCAAACCAGAAAATCCCTGTGGCTCCTCTCCAACCTATTCCAGCTATATCAAAACCATTTGAGTATTTGCTAGTTGATTGCGTAGGTCCATTACCTAGATCAAAAACTGGTCATTTATATCTGCTCACAGTTATGTGTCTGTCTACCCGGTATCAAGCTGCGTATCCAGTAAGATCCATCACTACAAAATATATTCTCAAAGATTTAACTGCCTTTATGTCGACATTCGGCATTCCTAGGGTTATCCAGTCTGACCAGGGCTCTAACTTCATGAGCCGCCAGTTTGCTAAGGCTTTACAACAATTGAAAATCAGTCATAACATTTCCAGTGCCTATCACTCTCAGAGTCAAGGGGCCCTTGAAAGGTTTCATCAGACCCTGAAGTCATTGTTACGGTCATACTGTGTCGAGCTTGGGTCTGATTGGGAGGAGGGGCTGCCTTGGTTGCTTATGGGAGTTAGAGAGGTAACTCAAGAGAGCATTGGATTTAGTCCAAATGATTTGGTATTGGGTCATGGAGTTCGTGGTCCCACTGCAGTTTTAGCTGACAACTGGATCCCTTCTGAACCTTCCAAAAACATTTTGGACTTTGTGAGTGGTTTTCGATATCGGCTGTATGAGGCTCGAGCAATTGCTCAGAGGAAACTGGGGAAGTCACAGTGTAAGATGGAGATATTGTTTAACAAACGAGCAGTCGCTCGGAAATTTCAGGTTGGAGACCAAGTATTAGCTTTGTTGCCCCTTGTAAGAAACCCCTTTTCACGTCCGTTTTGCAGGTCCTTATCGGGTCCTCAAATGCCTTCCTGGGCAGAATGATCTTTTGGAAACCCCAGAACGACGCAAGGGGGTACAGGTTTGTCATATAAATCTCTTAAAGCCTTACTCTCCTTCTACGTCTTCTGTGGGGTTAGTGACCACTGTGCTAGATGATTCTTCACATCTAAGGGAGGGGGGGACTTCCTCTTCAGAAAGTTCCTCCTTGAATTGCTTGGGGGATGATTGCGTTCACTGTCCTTCTCGAGGGGTTATTGAAGGACAATTGAATAACTCTGAATTGTATCCAAGATTGGTTCATCATTTACCCCATCTATCTCAGCCTGAGAAAAGGGACATCCTTCGGTTGGTGGAGTCTTTTGCACTACTGTCAGGAGTCAGTTGCACTACTGTCGTTGAACACAACATTGATGTGGGTTCTGCTTTACCAATTAAGCAGCATGCGTATAGGGTAAATCCTACGAAACGGGACTTGTTGAAAAAGGAGGTGACTTACTTATTAGATAACAACTTGGCTGAGCCCAGCTTTAGTGCCTGGAGTTCCCCTTGTCTTCTTGTAAATAAGCCTGACGGATCCTACAGATTTTGTACAGACTATCGTAAGCTTAATTCCGTCACTAAGCCCGACTGCTACCCTTTACCCCGCATAGATGATTGTGTGGATTGAGTGGGGTCTGCAAAATTTGTGAGCAAATTTGATCTCTTAAAAGATACTGGCAGGTTCCATTAACTGCTAGAGCAATGGAACTGTCTGCATTTGTGACACCTGATGACTTCCTCCAATACCGTGTTATGCCGTTTGGGGTTCGAAATGCTCCAGCCACCTTCCAACGCCTCATAAATAAGGTGTTGTCTGGATTACCTGACTGTGAAGCTTATTTGGACGATGTGGTTCTGTACAGTTCATCTTGGTCGGATCACCTAGCCCAAATCAAGGAGTTGTTTGTTCGTTTGACTGAGGCCTCTTTAACTTTAAATTTGGCAAAATGCGAATTTGGGAAAGCTACCGTCACCTATTTGGGTAAAATAGTAGGAAATGGACATGTCAGCCCTATTGAAGCTAAGATTGAGTCAATTTATGTTTTTCCAGTGCCTGCAAATCGCAAAGAATTGCGTAGGTTTCTGGGAATGGCAGGGTATTATCGTGGGTTTTGCCCAAACTTTGCTTCCATTGTTGCACCCTTGACCGATCTTATAAGTACCAAAGTATCTTTTAACTGGACCACTGGTTCTCAACAGGCATTTGATGGAGCCAAAGCACTGTTAACTAGTGCTCCTGTGCTTGTTGCACCAGATTTCTCTCAACCTTTTTCTTTAGCTGTTGATGCTAGCGACACTGGAGCCGGAGCTGTTCTCCTACAGAAAAGTCAAGATGGTGTAGAACATCCATTCTGTTATTTTGCCAAAAAATTCAATATCCATCAACGAGTTTACTCTGTTGTGGAAAAGGAGGCACTTGCTCTTGTTTTAGCTATCCAACATTTCGAAGTCTATTTGGGGTCATCTGCAAGTCCAATTGTGGTTTATATGGACCATAATCCTTTGGTGTTCTTACATCGAATGAAGGATCGAAATCAGAGGATAATGCGATGGAGTCTTTTCTTACAACCATTTTCTCTGGATATTAAACACATCCGGGGCCCTATCCCAAGCATGAAGTTGTAAGTTTTGATGTCTCGCCTTTTTCCCTTCTCTCTTCTCTTCCTATCCTGTTTTCTAGGGCCCAGGAAACAGGACTCAGGAACCAAGGGGACTGGGATCAACGGTGGAAATTATTATATATTTTCTTGCATTCCTTAGAGGAATACTTTTGTGGGGGAGGTGTTACGCCTGCCTGTTTGCCCTGCTGGCGTCTACTACACAGTGCATACGTTATTTGTGGCAACAGGTGGATTCAATCCCTAATCAGTTCACCACAGGAGTAGGATAAAGATGGGTGACTGGGAGTACAGACTTTTTCGCTTCGCTTCCACCTCTCTTTCCCTTTTCTTTATTTTGTATACATTTTTCCTTTCCCCTTGAACCTTCCCTTGTTTATCTTTATTTCAAATATCTGCTATTGTTTATTTAGTAACCACACGCGCGTTTCTTTCCCTAGACGTCGTTTTTTTTTTATTGTTTAAGTAATGTGTGATTGGTTTGACAATAAATAGTTTTATTGTTAAGGAATTTGTTGTCGGCCTATTTTTGTTGCGGTCTGCGAGCCAGCCGTAATACACTTCCATAATATAAACTCAAAACTTCACTTGTAACGAGGCTTCAGCAAAGGGAGGATCCATTTGCAGCTTTATTGTAATCTTGGTCGTACAATCAGGGTCATTATCCAGCAAACACAACATAGAGACAAAGCAACTCGTAATCTGAAAACAGGCATAAAGTCAGGCAGCAAACTTACATAAATCAGTCCACAGTAGAAAACAGTCCAGGACAGACAGCAAACAATCACGAAGAGAATAAACAGTCCAAGAGTAATCCACGGGAAGACAAAACCACAGGAAAAAACGCTCAGAGATGTTCACCAGGGCAAAACAAGGCCCTGTCCCAATATCCGCACTTGCGCCCTTGTGCCCCTCAAATGCGCGTTCTCGCTAAGGGGTGCAAGGCCGTAGGGTGTCCCGATCCTCTAATGTGTTCTCCAGGGGTGATCGTAAGGGCACTTAATGCACCCTTTTCGCAAGTGTGCATCAGACCTCACTTTGCTGTGGGCTATTACCCAGAATCCTTGTAGTGTTGTGACGTTTCGAACAGCTAACCAATGGGGGAGAACGGTTGCTATGGTGCTGCTGTTCGGGAGCGGAAACTCCGAAGATAAAGGAAGCCGGTGTGGTGAAGTGTTTTTCAAGGCCGCGAAATTTAAAAATATTAGTGTTATTGTGTCACGAAATGTAGTTTTAAGAGTTTTTCAGTCGAGAATATAGTTGTTTAAAGCTCAAATCTGTGGTTTATTTATAAAGATAACGCCTATTTAAAAATTTGATCTGACGTTTTCGGAGTTCCAGGGATCAGCGGGAGCTCAGTGCTCATGTACCCCAGCTGGAACAGCCTTACCTCGGCTAGTCATTCTGACGTTTCCCGCGGGCTCTGTGTCTAGTGGTTAAACATGAGCTATAAATCGGCTTGTGTATATCTAACGGGCGATCTTTGGTTTCATTAATCTATGATTTGTTCCCTGGCAAATCATTTTGGCTGAGGGCAAAGGGAAGTTTCATAATTTTATATATTTAGGCTATTTAACGGTAACGTTGTAACATTAGCCTATTGACTTATGTTTGACTGAATCTTTTAACTTGCTTTATTTCTTGACTTATATAGCTTCTTATACTTTTTAGGCTACTTATACTTTAATAATGACTATTATTGATCAATAAAACTAAAATGTAACAAAAAGAGACAGGGTTGTGTCATTTTATTTCATATAACCTGTGTAAGACTATTTTAATATATACCCTATGTATCACCAACACGTCATGTATTTTTTCATGTATGGGATGGGAAGAATTTAATATATCAATTTCCATAATAACATAATTAAAAATGTTTCGAATCGCTGTGAATACGGTAAGGCAGTATAATCTCAGGTAAACCTCAATCACAATTTATCTTATCAGTTATCACAATTTATCTTAGCCAAAAACTAATTTAATATTAATAACATTAACAGAAAGGTTGGGAGCTAAGAGTAAAAAAAGATATACATTTTTTCATTCAAAGGATTGTGTCATGCGACAGCTATTATAAGCAGCACAGCACACACATTAGCCAAATGAACGGTGTTTACTCCCCTGATCACAACAGAAGTGACGTAGATAGTGATGTGTGCAAAACTGTCCCAATTCTGCTCTTCACAGCTTCGGGCCCTTGCACACTTACTCCGCTAAGTGCACTTTCAACAAGTGTCCACTTCCAGGAAGGCCTTAGGGCTCAAGTGAGTATTGGGACTGGGCCCAAAACTTCCCACTGAGGCTCTTCTTCTTCATCTGTGGTTTTTTATTGGCAGTTTGCAAACAAAGTGGATTACCGCCATCTTCTGGATTGAGGTGTGAATTTATTGGGATGTCATTTTATGTTACTAAACTAAACTAAAATAAAATAAAGTTAAATTAAATTAAAATAATAAAACCTAAATCCTATTTGCAAGCTGAGTTTCTTTCATAAAGATCATAACATCCTTAAAGCTGCAGTAGGTAACTTTTGAAAAAAATTATTTTTTACATTTGTTAAAACTGTCATTATGTCCTGACAGTAGAATATAAAACAGATAATCTGTGAAAAAAATCAAGCTCCTCTGGCTTCTCCCAGTGGTCCTATTGCCATTTGCAGAAATACACCGCTCCCGGTCAGAAACAACCAATCAGAGCGAGGAGGAATGTCTTAGCAGTGTCAATCACGCTCGTGTACGCGCTGATCACACCCCTCTCTTACACAGTGCGTACCGTCGTTCAAACTCAAGATTGCCGGTGTGCCGCAGCTGTGCTAATGGCGGACAAACCACCAAAATTTCCAATTTTTCGAGTGGCTCCTGCTCATCCATTCCTCCAGTAATACACGGCTGCAGGAAGATACCGTATGCAGTTCATGACCGACTTAAAGAGACACTTGATGATTTGGAGAAAAGGGGTGTCATAAGCAAAGTATCTAAACCTACTGCATGGGTTAGCAGTCTCTGCATTACAGAAAAAAAAAACGGCGCGCTGAGAGTCTGCCTGGATCCCAGAGACCTAAACAAAGCCATACTCCGCCAGCACTACAATATTCCCACTCTGGAGGACATACGGAGTAAGCTAGCTGGCAAAAAGTTGTTCACCATCCTGGATGAGAAGGATGGCTACTGGCAGATTCAACTAGATGAGGAGTCAGCAGATCTCTGTGCTTTCAACACGCCGTGGGGCAGATACCGTTTCCATCGCATGCCTTTTGGTATAAAGTCAGCGAGTGAGGTATTTCAGCGCCTGAACTCAGAAAGCTTTGGGGACATTGAAGGTGTTTTCATGGTGGCTGACGACATGATCATAGCGGCATCCACCAAAGCGGAGCATGATGTCATCCTAGAGAAAGTGATGAACAGAGCGCTGAGTCTAAATGTGAAATTCAACAAAGACAAATTGCAGTATATGGTCCATGAGGTGACTTACCTAGGCCACGTCATCACCGCTGAGGGAGTGAAGCCTGATGAGTCGAAGGTTTCGGCAATATTGCAATTTCCCCCTCCCACTGACAGAAAAGCCCTTCAGCGCCTGCTAGGTATGACACGCTACCTGTCACAATACATTCCCAATGAAGCCACCCTCACTGCACCTCTTAGGCTGTTGCTAAGGAAAGACATAGACTGGCAATGGCATCCTGAACAGCAGTTAGCACTTGAAAAACTCAGAACAGCCATAGCAACTGCACCTGTTCTTGGACATTTTGACCCAAAGCAGCCTATTGAAGTGCAGGCAGATGCCTCAAAAGATGGCTTGGGGGCTGCTCTTATGCAGAAACAGCAACCAATTGCATATGCTTCGAGAGCGCTATCTGCGGCTGAAAAGAACTATGCCCAGATAGAAAAAGAGCTACTGGCCATAGTATTTGCTCTGAGAAAATTCCACCAGCATGTTTACGGTGTGCCTGTCAGGGTTCAATCTGATCACAAACCACTTGAGGCGATATTCTCCAAACCCATAGGTGCAGCACCAGCACGCCTTCAAAGAATGCTGCTCCAGCTGCAAAGGTATGACATCCACATTGTTTACACTCCAGGCAACCAGATGCATATCGCCGACGCGCTGTCCAGAGCATACATTCAGTCTGATACAACAGAGAGTCTAGACCTGAGCGAAGAGAAAGTCATCTATGCAATGAATGGAGAATCACTTGGTGGTAACATCATGCACATGATCCAACAAGCCACACAGTCAGATGCTGAGATTCAACTGATACGGCAGCTACATGAGCGAGGATGGCCGGACAGAAAGAAAAATGCCCCACTGGCTGCTCAAGCTTACTGGCCAGTCAGACACACTATTAGCATAGATGATGAGCTACTCTTGAAAGATGATCGCATCATTATCCCTCGCGCACTGCGACAAGAAGTGCTGAAACGACTTCATGCGGCACATCAGGGTATACAGCGGTCTCTAGCACACGCCAGATCATGTTTCTACTGGCCAGGACTCACTGAAGCCGTACGTCACATGGTAGAAGTCTGTAGTTTCTGTCAAGAGAGTCGCCCTGAAAATCAAAAGGAGCCACTTATCTCGCAATCCAGTTCCAAAGGGACCCTGGCAGAAGATAGCTGCTGACATTTTTGACTTTCAAGGGCGTTCATTCCTTCTGATTGTGGACTATTTTTCGAAATATCCAGAAGTCTTACAGCTGCCAGACAAAACGTCAGCCTCACTAATAGCACAATTCAAAGCAGTGTTTGCAAGACATGGTGTGCCTGAGATCCTGATGGCAGATCATGTACCCTTTGCCAGTGCTGAAATGGCTCGATTTGCTCATGACTGGGGTTTCAACATCACACACTCCAGCCCCAATTTCCCTCAGTCCAACGGCATGGCAGAGCGAGCCGTAAAGACTGTTAAATCTATGCTGAAAGCTGCTGCTCAGTCTGGCACTGACCCTCACCTCGCTTTATTGACTCTCCGCAACACTCCTGTCACTGGTCTCAAGCACTCCCCAGCCCAGATCCTTATGGGCAGAGTCTTACGTTCTACTTTACCGGCCAGCAAAGCTGTTCTGCAACCTTCTATACCTAAACACATCCAGGAAGCGCTGCAGCATCTTCAATCACAGCAAAAAAGATGGTATGATAGAACAGCAGCCCCACTTCCAGCCTTCAAAGGGGGACAGAGAGTATATATGAGAATCAGAAATACATGGAAACCAGCTACAGTTGTCAGTGCCCGAGAAGAGCCCCGTTCATACGATGTTGTCACACCAGCGGGCACAGTCTACCGCAGGAACAGACGTCATCTCAGGCCTGACAGGTCAATCAAACATGACTCGCAACCTGACTGTTCCCTGGACACTGACATTGATTTGAGCAAGGACACTGTTTCAAATCCTGTTCCAAATGAGCCTCCTCAAGATGTGGAAAGAAGTGTGCGGCGACCGAAATGCACAAGAGCCGGACGTATCGTCAGACAACCGGCACGGTTCGAGGATTATGTGCTTACTTAAGTATGCTAGATTAGTGTAACTATTGCTTGCTCATATCAAACGTTATTTCATACACTGGTGATATTGTCAGCATACTGTTCTTGTTTTATGTCTGATTAATACTCTGTTTAAAAGCTTAAGAAGGGGGATGTAGTATGCAGTGAATGGTTCTGACCAGCACACCCCCATACAGTTCGTGTAGTTGGTATGACCCACTGTTGTATGGCTTGTGGCCAATGTGGTGAATTGAGTTAAAAACATGCAAGTAAAGAAGCTGGGCGTTATAACTCCTGTGTGTATGTGTCTTGATGTGACTAAGGATAAACAAAGACCACAACATTGCCTATTGCAAGCTTGTTCAGAAATGGT